CTGATCAATGTTGGGGAGAGGGAACGGGTCCATGGGGCACGCCTTGTTCAGATCAGTGTAGTCAACACACATTCTGAATGTTGGCGGTTTTTGGGCGAGGACGACGTTGGCTAGCCACGTCGGGTACTTCACCTCCTTGATGTGGTTGATTGAGAGGAGCATGGCGACCTCCCCTTTGACGAAGTCCCGCCTATCGGCGGATAAGTAGCGTCGCTTCTGCTTGACAGGCGCGGAGGCTGGATCGACGGTCAGCCGGTGGGTGATCACCTGCCGGCTGATGCCTGGCATGTCGTCCGGGCCCCACGCGAAGATAACGGCGTATGACCGTAGGACAAGGAGGATGGCGTCCCGCTGGTCCTGTGGGAGTTGCTTCCCGATTTTGAGGACCCGCTCCGACCGGGAGGTATCCAGAGGGACTTTCTCAACCTCCTCGGCCGGTTCGGCATGTGGCCTCTCCTTGTCCTTGGCAACGGCTGTCGTGATGGTGTCTATCCTCTGTCTTTCTCTTTCGGCCGGCTTTGTCAGTTTGAGGTAGCATGCTCTGGCTATCCTCTGGTTTCCTCTGGCGTAGCCGATGCCGCCATTGATGGGGAACTTCAGACACAAGTGCTTCATGGAGATGATGGCCTCCAAGTCCTCCAGTGCTGGCCGCCCCAAGATCAGGTTGTGGGCGCACTGGAGGTTGACCACCATGAACTCCATGTCAATTTTGGCGCGGTGGGGGAGGACTATCGTGCCCTCGGCGTCGATAGAGTCCCCGGTGAAGCCGGACAACGGTGTCTTGATCGGCTTCAACAGAGCTTTTTCCAGCTTCAGCTGCCTGAAGGTGTCCAGGTACATCACGTTGACGGAGCTCCCCGTATCGATGTAAGTGTGGTGGATGATGGAGTCACCGATCTCACACCGGATGACGAGGGCGTCCCTGTGTGATTCCGTACCCGGAGGCAGATCCTTGTCGGTGAAGGTGATCGCCTCCGTTCGCTGCTTCTTCGGCTAGGGGGGAACGTGGGACACCTCCCCAATGTAAAGGGATTGGGCCCATTTCTTCCTCTGGGTGACGGAGTCCCCCCCGGTATTCCCACCTACAATGAGGTGAATATGATTCTTCTTTGGCGGAGGCTCTTCAAAGTCCTCGTCGTCGCTGAGCCTGCCGATCTCCCGCTTCTTCGTAGAGGGTTCGCCCCCAGGTTTGCCGGTGTTTACCCACGTATTTTTGTGTGGGCCACCTTTAACAAATTGGGAGAGTTCCCCCTGACGAATAAGGCGCTTGATGGCTTTCTTTAGCGTGATGCAGTCGTTGGTGTTGTGCGAGGAGTTCTTGTGAAACCGGCAGTATGTACCACCATACTGGATGGCAAGGACCTCCTCGGCCGGCCGAGGAGCCTGCTCAATGAGGCCATGCTTCTCGGCGTAGTCGAGGATGGTGCTGACCGGGTGGGTGAGGGGGACCCCCGGCCGTTCCAACCTCGGCCGCCAGTGGCGGTCTTTCTTGCTTTGTCCACCAGAGCCGTGACGGCCCTGGGCACCCTGGCCGGCCGGGGATGGTCCCGGGGCCGGCGAAGGATTTGTCTTCTTGGAGGGATGGCCTTGGCCGGGATGGCCTCCCTCTTTTTTGTGGTTGTGGAGCTCGTCGGCGTCGGCGTACAAGCTCTCGCGTTGAAGCGCCTTCGCATACGATCTTGGAGGATCGGTGATGAGACTTCTGGCGTACGGGGAGCTGCGGAGGGCTCCCTGGTACAGGATGAGGAGGGTGCGCTCATCGGCCCCTTCGACCTCTTCGGTCTCCCTCACCCACCGATCAATGAACGACCGGAGGGGTTCGTCATGTTGCTGCTTGACCGTGTCCTGGGCCATCACCCCCTCGTCGTTGCCTATCCTGACGGCCAACGGTTGGGGCTGAGGAGGTGGAGTGACATTCCCCCCAGTCCTTGGTAAGAGTGCGCTGAGGACGGTGGGGTTCTGGGCCAAGCTGGCGATGATGACCGATAGCGCGGCCTGGACCTGTGGATCCACAGACGGAGAAGCCGCGGCCATAGGCTGGGCCGGAGCGTGGTCTGTCTTCTCAGCGCGTTTCTTGTCCAGGCTGATGCGGGCATCAGGGGCTCCGCCGTTGAGTTGGTTGCAGAGGTCCGTCGTGAGGTTGATGGCCTCCTGGAAGACGTCCCCTCCGCCGACCTGGTCGGCCGTAGCGTCTTCTTTATGCTCCCTGATCTCCTGGTCCTCAGGGATGGCCTTGCTGACGAGGTTGCGGTTTGACTTAGTTCTTCCCATGATCAGTGGTTAGCTGTGCTTGGTAGCGACGAAGGGTGCTAACTTGATTGTTCTAGCTCTCAACGAGAGCACCAAATGATAGAGTATATATCTAGAGAGAAGTGAGAGCTAGAGAGAGAAGTGCAAGAAATGCTTCAATAGAATGAACTTGTAACCCCCATAACTACCTCCAGAGGAAGTATTTATAGGAAAAATACGGGCTGGGCTCTCAAGCCTTGGGCTTGGGAGGCCCATTTACAACTGGACCGCTATTGGGCCGAATACAGAGCCACTGGTGGGCTATATGAATGAATAAGTGTAAAATCCGGTTCTATGAGACTTCCGTGGCCGACGAGGGTCTTGGCCGACGAGGGCACGGCCGACGAGGACACCCTGGTTCCTTGGCTTCAGGATCATATTCTGAGTTGGTACTTCTTCGGCCGACGGGGGTCTTCTGGCCGACGAGGACACCACGTAGTGGCTGTGCTTTCTGTTTTTCTGAGTATGTGGGTCCTGGGGCCTAGACCCATATACTCCATCACAAACATAGCGTGAAACTAAGATCATAAAAAATAATTAAAAATAGGAAAATAATCCAAAATTCTTCGTGCCAATAATTCTCTTTAACATAAATACTTTTAACTATTTAATCGTATATCATTCAAGTTTATTCACTTCTCAAAACATCCGTAATTAATAAATTATATCATTATTTTCTCAAAGTCTTTCTCATGTAATTTATTGTGCAAAAGTGAAAATCTAATTATAAAATAATTAATAACCAACTTTACATAGCCTATTTGCTTGCCTTGGAATCGAAGGCTTAAAGTTTGTTCTTGCAGCTATACCACACAATCCTCCTTTTTGGAATATATTCTTTTATTTTGTCATTACTCGTTACTGTATTACTTCTTTATATTTATACATACCCCAAAGTGTATATTATCTATGTAAACATAAATGAATAATATGATCTTACGTACGGAGTAGTATTTAATTTTGTTTGCTTCTTTTCTTGACAAATTAAATATTCTTTCCTTCTTTTATGTTTTAAATATATTAAAGTTTTGATGCTGTAAAATTAAATATTTTGAATGAAGCTTGAAGTAGTCCTATAAATTCAGATAGAGCCGAGGGAACTAATGACAAAGAATCATCGTGAATTATTGTCTTTTCTATCGCTTATTAATTAATTGTTCCCAAGGATTTTTTCTAATCAACCAAGGCCATCATCAAAATGATACTAGTCAGAGATGGTGATAATATAATAAATACTCACCATGGCAATTTTTCAAACCTTGAGGTATTTAATTAGACTTTTATAATTAATACATCCCATCTCTCTAATTTTCTTAATATCTAACTCATATTTCTAGAAAATGTCATATCCCATAAATAACGAATTCAGAGATTTTTCTGTCGATTTAAATCGCCCGGTTCCAATATTAGAATTCGAACACCTTAATATTATCTATTTGTATTCTAAGTGTTACCGAACTTATTCTTTAAAATGATATATATTTTAAAAAGAGTTTGATTTGTGATACGTTTAAACATATATGTGCAATCATCAATAACTTCTTAAACATAAAAACATTATTTTAAAATTCTCCGTCTATTTGCCTCTTATATATTAAGACTCTCTTTCTCGTCTATGATTTATTTAAACCTAGGATGAACTAAGTCAAGTTTGTCCTACTTATATGTTTTTGAGCTTTTCTGATATATATGAGAATATATGCTTATAATCTGCATAACACTTTTAGAACATTGTTTAAAATGTTAAGCAATATGCGAATCTCTAAATATTTTTAGTACTCGGTAGTAGATAAGTATAATTTTTGTGCATGGATTCACACTATGGATATATGATCGATGTAATGTCACATATATATGTATGAATCTAAAACAATCAACACTAACTCATAGGTTGTGAGCTTTTCAAATCAAGTTTGCTTATAGGTTGAGCTTGACTTGAATTGGTTTAATTTGATTTGTATGTGCTCATGACACATTAATAAATCTGCAATCAAAATAATAAATCTACATTGTAGGAAAAAGCAATATTATTTACACTTTTGATATATTCCATTTCTTCAACCAAAATTTAAATCTATGAAGTTTACATGGTATTCTGCAACCAAAACAATAAATCTACATTGTAGGAACTAGGAAAAAGCAATATTATTTACACTTTTGATATATTTCATTTTTGCACCAGGGAAAACAAAAACGTTATTTTGTAACACGAAAAAATGGAGGTTTGATTTGTATGTGCTATAAACAGGAGTTGTTTTGAGAAAAAGAGTGATATGCGGTTTTGTTTGTGTGAAAAGAAACAAAGAAAACAGTAGAAATGAAAATGAAATAGAGAGGAAAAAATGGTTTTTAGTATACAACTTCTCTGCGTCAATTTTGATTATTTAAGAATTACAAAGGGGGAAATATGGTGAAATTTCAGAGTAATTAAAATGTTGTTTTTGACTTTCTTGTGAGGCTATTATTTATTTATTTCCTTATATAATAAAGTAATTAATATAATTTCATTTTTTGAATATAATTTCATAGATAATGAAGTAAATGAGGAATCTATTCATTTTTTAATGACGTTGCAGGCAAGAGATGTTTTGATGTCTTTAATGAATGATCCATATTTGAAATCCATAGCTGACACATATCGTTCTATTTCATCAAGTGGGAATTTGATTCTTTCTCGTGATTCTCATTTTCTCGTGACCAAAGAAACTAAATGTGTCTATATTGCGCAAAAGGAATATGCAACCGTGGATCCTTCCCTTGTCGATGTAAGTTAATTATTAATTATCTTAATTATTCGCAATAACTACGCAATTATATATATTCATCCATTATCGGTCAAATTAATGACGATCCATATTGGTGTATACCTGTATATATGTTAATTTCGCATAGAGTTAGTTCGAGAAATGTAAGATTACCATGAGAACGCTAAATTGATAAGTAATTTAGATTAATGTGAATGTATTCAATTTATTTCCATTTACATTTGGTTAAGATTAAGCGAATGTGACATGAAAGATCTTATATTGAAGATTTGGAGAATTACTTCAATACCCTTTAAATATTTTCTTTTAACACAATAAATTCATTACAACCTATCTAAAGTAATTGTTCACATAGAGCTAAATGGTTAACTTCTCTAAACATTCAAAAATCTATTCAATAATCTAAACATTTAAAACAACACCTATTTTTATTTTAATAAGTGTGACGGAACTGCTTTTTTATGTTTCACTTTAAATACGAAGTACTTTTTATGTTTCTCATTTTGGTGGGATGAGCTGAGGATTCATAGTTTTGACTACTAAGAAACGTTAATTCCACACTAATACATTTCTCTAAACCTTGACATATCTATATACGAAGTATAAACTAGCAACTCGACATATCTCTAAACCTCTTATTGGATTCTAAAACAATGAAATTGCTGCTTCAAGTATCGTGTATATATAGACTATAGTGCATGGTTTTATATTCGATCATTATTTATTCATTACCGTGATACCGTCTAATATCATAGAAAAAAGTTATTTGTACGCACTTTTTTGTACAACCAGTACACACATCTGTGAGTATACATACGTCTGTGAACGGTACTTTTTTGTGAATAGTCTGTTCACAAACAAAACATGTCTGAGACGTTTGTGAACATTTTTTTATCTTTGAAGGGGCATTTACATACAAAAAAACAGCTTGTTCACATACATGTGTAATGATGGGTACAAAACAATATGCACAACAAGCATGGCTGAATATAATTAAACTGATATTGATGACATGTGAAAATTAAACTGCAGGTGATTGGCACTGATGGGCAAGGAGGCTGTGTTGGTGTGGTCATACGAAACCCTAATAGTGGATTGTATGTAATGTTTTAAATAGTTAAAAATCAGTGTAGCAAGCTAGCTAATCATGTCTAATTTGATCTATAATATTGGATGTAGGATCTGTGTTGCCCATATGGATGTTCCAGAAATTATTGATAATGGCCTCACTCAAATGTTATCATCCATTATTGATCAAGAGAGCGATGAAATTTTGGATGTATATATTTATATATACATAACCATTACATACATTATACTAATATACTACTTCCTTCTTCATTTTTCTTGTTTTCCATTTCCCCATTTTTCCATGCAACACAAAAAGTTTCTAAATAAATTATATTGACTTTTCACGTGATATTATGTGCAGGTACATTTAATTAATGGTCAAAATACAGTACCACGTGAAGCCAATAATACTGGTCGTATCGAAGGAGTTTCAATGGAGCTTTGTGAAAGCATAATTCAATTTCTCTGTAAGAGCAATAAAAGATTCAGTATTAAAACGTTGCACATTCTTGATCGCAATACCGTACATGATGAACGAGGAAATGCATATCCTATATTCAGTGGTTTCTTGGTAATAAAAATTACTACATTTGTTCGTGTTTTATGGTTAGGGATGTTTTAACTGGACTATAGTAGTCTGATCTGATATCATAGATGTGTAGATAACAAATCTGTTTAATGTTTAATTTACAACTTCCAAAATCTGATCTAATCTCATATGTTTAAGTTTGATCTGATCTGATTTGAGACTTGAAATCAGTTCATTAAAAAACACACCAACTCTTAATAATATGTGTACGTACATGACTGATGTATATACGCATATTATTGATAATAGGTGGAAACTGCGACTGGATCGATATTTCCAGCAACCTTTGATAAAACAATATATCCAGATGCAACCGTTAGGGCTGCTCGACTAATGACCTCACATGGGACATATAAGAGATTGCTAGAGACGTATGAGACTATGTCCGACAAATACGTCATTGCTCCATGTTCTTGGTAATTAAGATCCAAACCAATACATTTTCTACCACGTTTATTTAATGTACCAAGCATGCATGAGAATTTTAGCTTCAATTCATATATTTGTGCTAATAAGCTAAGATCAGAGCTGTATATAAAACTGCATGTTTATGTTGATTATATACACACAAACACACAACATACACACACACACACACACACACACACACACACACACACACACACACACACACACACACACACACACACACATATATATATATATATATATATATATATATATATATATATATATATATATATATATATATATATATATATATATATATATATATATATATATATATATATATATATATATATATATATATATATATAGGGAGGGGTTCCGGTAAGAATGGACTCCCGGGAGAGAAATGAGAATGAATCTGGACCGTTGGATTGTATTATGGGAAATTGAATTGTGCATTTGGTTAAACTGAAATATGCATTAGATGATATTGAAATGTGCAGAATAAAAATTTAAACTCAAGTGTGCATTAGGTGAAACTGAAATGTACGGAATAAAAAGTACAAAAATAACATCACATCGTACCTTTTATTCTGCATATTTTAGTTTCACTTAGTGCACATTTCAATTTCACCTAATGCACAATTCAGCTTCACATAATTAATGTCATTGTATCGTACCCTTTGTGCTGCACATTTGAATTTTACATAATGCACATTATAGTTTCATCTAATTAACTTTGACTTGCACTTAAAGCAAATCTAACTGTCGAGATTCATTCTCATTTCTCTCTTAAGATCATGTTCTTATTTGAACCAAAACCTATATATATATATATATAGTTGTACAAATTTTGTTGATGGTAAGAAAATATTCAAATCTAAGGCATCAGATTTATTCTCATTTCGCTAATTCAATTACATTCTCTTTTAATCCAAATTCTATGTGTCTACCGGCGGGTAGGATTGACACCTTTCCTTGCACGAATGTTTAGGGACAAGGCTTTTGTGAAAAGTCGTGAAGAACTGTGTGAACTCCCAGATAAAGAAATTTCTAAGCAATGCTTCACTATTCAAAGAACTGATGAGCGGATGATTACTCACCTTGCGCAGCTGGTCAGAAGGTACGTGACGGTATCTAGTTCCAAATAAGAAAAATCTTGCATGTCTATGTTTTGAGTATAGTTATGTGACAATTATACTAAGGTTCACACATACATAATCTAGCTAGAAATTGTTCTTATGAATTTCAAATAATGCATGATTAATAAGGTTTTGTTTGGAAATAAAAGCTAATAACCTAGTTTGAAACTAATAAAATTGGGTATCAATATATGGCTAATATATACATAGTAGATTATTAATGGTATATGACTGCATATTTAGTGAGCATAAGACTCTACTTCTAGCTTTTGTACTATTTAAAAATCACTAAGAACCTCTTATTGTATATTTGGCACAACAAATTTTAATTTTTTTTGTAGAATAAAAAATAGTTTTTGAAAAGTTACACTGAGTAGCATCTGAGAAATGTTTGTACCTTTTACCATTAATTAATAACAATATTTTGTATACAAAATAGAACTAAATCAAACAATAATTTTTTTACTCCGTATCAAACAGATGCTGACTTTTTCTTTTAAAATCTTTTCGGTCACTAAAAGTTAGCATAAAAAGTTCATAAGAACATATTTTCACCTTCTTCTATATATATACCTCATAACTTATCTATTTGTTTTATTCCCATTTAGACAGTACCTAACATTAAATATTTATCCTTCCTCATCTCAGAGAATGTGCTTATTTTATTGAACACCCGAATTGGAAAGAGATATTTCCCGCAGGACAACCACGTATATTTACGAGAACCATTGACGGAAATTGGACAAGATCATACGTTGAACATCCTCAAATATTTAAGAGAACCGCTAATGGGGGTTGAATATGCACGACTCCATTTCATGTCATTTCATTTCATGTTAAATTTAGTTGTACAAGTATGATTGTGTCAAGTTACACCACTTACACGTGCTTATTTAATTTATGCTTGTGAATTGAGATTGCTTAAAAAAACGTACCTAGCCAAAGCATATGCTTACAAATCTTTATATATATATACATGTATATATGTATACATACATGTGTATATGTATACATACATGTGTACATGTACATACATGTACATGTACATGTATACATACATGTACACATATATACATACATGTGTGTGTGTGTGTATATATATATATATATATTATATATATATATATATATATATGGAGCGGATCAGGTGAGAAGTGCTCTTAGACTGAAAACTGCGAAGTTTAACTAATAGACTAATGACACGAACTTTTAACCAATAAATCATACTCCCTCTGTCCCGCTAGAAGGTTACCGTTGGAGGTTTACGATGCTTGAGTGATGATAAAGCAACTTAATCCATGTTCACACTCTGATTATTTTTAGTAAATAAAATTTACATATTCAGAAATTACATTAAAGCTGCTACAAAGCCTGATAAAAAAATGTAAATTTGATAAAAATTTGATTTATGAAGTAAAAGATTAAAAATGATTTAAGTTGACCATGTGAATAGTGGACGAGAACCTTCTAATGGGACGGAGGTAGTAACTTATAAACCCCTCGAAAATAATTACAAAAATGCCACCGCCAAAAAATAAGCCTAGAAACCTTGAAATTTTTTGGACGCGGTGGTATTTTCGTAATTATGATGGAGAGCTTTATAAGTTATGATTTATTGGTTATAAGTTCCTATATTCAGTCTATAAGTTTACTGCGTTGTAAGATTAGATGCAAATCCAAGATCTGAGATTGGTTCTCACTTCTCATTTTAAGAGGGACTTCTCACCTGATCTTCTCTCTCTCTCCCTCTCTCTCTCTCTATATATATATATACACACACACACACACACCTTAAATACATGTGTTACTGTATAACCCATGTGAAATACTGAAACGGGGTCATTTTTATAATTTTTATAAATTTTTCACATAAGTTATTATTATACCCGATGTCAAATAGTGAAACGGGGTGTATTTTAAAATTTTATTAAATATTTTACATCAGTTCTATGTCCAACTGATGTCAAAGAAAAAACGGGATCATGTTTTTAATTAAAGGAAGTTTTTTGACATCACTTAAAACCGATTTGGAATAGCCCAGAAAAAAATATCCGCCCTTATTCCAGATCTGTCGGGTACAAACAATCTGGATGTATTAAAACATCACGATAAGTGCCTCTCTTTGATTTGGAGGTTGTCAAACCTAGCCAAAACTCATTCACTAGAGCAGTGGCGAGCGACCCAGGGACGGCCAACGAACAACAGCGATCGACCAGGTACGGCCAACGACCAGTGGCGATCGACCAAGGATAGCCAATGACGAGCGACCAGAGACCAGAGACGGACCAGCGACCAGAGTTTTAACCAGCCACCGACTAGTCGCGACAATGGCTTAAAGTTGGCGCGGCTCCGGTACCGAGTGCAGGTCGGACGTCATCGGTGGAGTCTTCCAGTGGCGTCGCCAAGGATTTCCGGCCACCAGTTTGAGCTAGTCACTTTGCATCCGGTAAGTTTACCGATGGTTTATTATATACTCCCTCCGTCCCTTAAAGGTTTGCCAAGTTTGACCGGCACGTAGAATAATAAAGTAAAAACGGTGTGGTAGATATTTGTGCAGAGGAGAGAGAAATAACAAGAGCCACAAATTCATTAACTAAAATGGAAAGTGGCAAAGTTTTTGGGACAACCAAAAAAGGAAAGTTGGCAAAATTATAAGGGACGGAGGGAGTATGTGCTTATTGTCTGCGGCTTTGTGCAATTGAAAAAACAAGTCTTGAATCCTTGAAATGGTCAGAAGTACATCACCTTACATGTTATTAGCTTGAATTTCAGTCATTAGGTCGTTTTCATATGATAAGTGTTTGCTATAATTTTCACATGAAAATGAAATTGACTATTTTCCTTGTCCACCCCACTTTGAAATTTAGGAGATATCTAAACCTGCTAATGAATGAGCATCATATTATCATTTTCTTTGTATATGAAGCTGGTGTACCTTTTGTTATTTTGGAAGTGTAAGTGACTTAATACGCCAGGTCAGCAATTTGAGCCACCATTGCCGCAGGTGGAGTCCAGTCGCCAACGCCAGACCAGCAATTTGAGTCACCTTCCAGCGTCGGTAAGCTTGTTTTTATTATCACATTATCATTTAAATTTGACATTGCATATATGGTGTTTGATAAAATGCTTCATAGTAAATTTATTGACTATAGAGTACGTGATTTTAATTTTAATTTATAATAGTTCTATCAAGTACTCATAATCATAAAATTAAAATAAGAGACATGTGAATGAAACACAAAGACCAACACTGTGTTTCACAAAATAGTTGGGCAGACAGTTTTTTAGAACCATGATGGCACTATATTTTGCATACCCTATACATAATACATTCCTCGACTTATTTCCAATTGTGAAATTGTTCTACTTTATGCTGTTTGGTTATGGCAAGCTGAAACAAAACCAGTCACTGAACACTGACACTACGAAAGGATACTGGCATCAATTAAGTATTAACTGTACACTGATTTGTGTAGGAGAATTGTGAATCTCTCTGGTTTACAAGTAAATATACTTGCAGGTTTTATATGACTACCCCTTTGGTTTACAAGTACACTGATCTGGTTTACAATTAAGTATATACTTGCAGGTTTTATATGACTACCCCTTTGGTGTTATTACTGCAAGTACACAGAGTGTTATACTTTGCAGGTTGACAGTTAATACTTAATATGTAGGCCTGGTAGTGTCAGTGTACAGTGACTGGTTTTGTTTCAGTTTGCCATAACCAAACTGTATAAAGTAGAACAATTTCTCTGTCGAACAATTTCTAAAAGTCAGATTGCTCCTTCTATTTTTTGGAACAGATCTTGTACTCTTTTAGGGTTGTAAGACGTTTTTGGCTAATTCCTCTTCTTATATTGGTGGTTTTTTTTATGCTTGCTAGCCTTT